CAAACAACCCCTTTGACTTCAAGTTAACTGACTGGCTGCCAGATTGGACAAATGATTCTGGTATCTGTGGGTTTGATTTACTTAAAGCCTCACAGGGGTCCATGAGCCCTACTTACCAACATCCTGTAGAATAAGCAGCATCTGTGTCTAAAACAGCTTCCTAAAAGTCAAGGTTGTGGAGGGGCTGGATGAAGGCTCGGAAAAAACTATGTAAGAATCAAAGTTAATTTTTAAGTGCCTTCAACCTCTATTTTTGGTGGCCTTTTCTCTATTCACTTATTTGTCCTGTTCTCCCCCCAATTTTTGAGCCCTTCTCTTTGGCTTTTCCTTTGCTAGGCCCTGGGAATGCAAAGAAGAATGAGACGTTGCGCTTGTCCTTGAGAGGCAAAGTTTATGAGGAAAACAAACCCATGAATGACTAATTAACAATATTCAGAGATGAGTGCAATAGAAAAGGTGTCTCTAAAGAGCAGAATTACAGAGGAGAGATACAGACTGTCTGGGGGAATAAGTAAAAGGCTCACAGTAGATGTGACATTTAACCTGGAACTTAAAATTTAAGTCAGGCAGGAAAGAAGAGGAAGACATTTTAGGCCGAGGAGCCACCATGTACAAAGGCAACGTCAGCATGACAGGACATAACAGGGAGAAGTTAGCTCTGTGTGACTGGAGCCCAGGGCGCTTTTATGGGGAAGGGCAGGAGTTGATGCCCAAAAAGTAGGTTGGGGCCAGATGTGAAGGATTCTGTATGTTTGTTGGGCAGAAGTTTGAACTTTTTCCTGATTGGAAAGCAGTCAGAGGTCTTTAAACACAGATGTGGCCTGGTTGCTTTCGGGCTTTACAAAGATGCCTCTGATGGCAACGTGAAGCAATCGGTGCGTTAGCCCAGGAGACCAGGTGAGGGGCGTGTCAGACTCAAGGCAGTGGGGCTGAAGAAGGGGGAGGGATTGGAACCCATCTGAAAGATAGACTTGGCAGGAGTGAATGTACATTCAATTAGAAATGATTAAATGTCCAGCAAGAGGGAAAGAGAAAAACATCAGGTTGTAAATGGAGTATCTGTGTAGATAGTTTCTTCAAAACATTTTAGTAGAAGATTGCATTTACCTAATCCTTTAAGTGAGTACTAAGACACGTATTAACTCTCCAGTTTGCATTGTAGTAATTTAAAAAATTAATCTAAAAGAACAAACCATCAGCAAGCAGGTCCTTCTTTTGGACAAAGAGGCTTCTGGGGATTTGAAATCATGTTGTCTGCTCATGTGTCACACTTACATTGCTGGCCCTGTGCAGAGGGAAGTCCAGGCCCTGGTGCAGGGCTGCTGGAGCCTTTCTTGCTTTTCTTTCCAGGCTCCCCGAGTCAGAGTGAGGAGAATGTCTTGGGTAAGGCCGGGGCGAAAGATCCACAGGGGCCGTGAGGTGGAGGTGTAGGCTGATGATTGAGGGCAGCCGTCCACAAGCTGCAACAGGACAGTGTTCGGGGAGTAGTCCTAAAAGCTAATGTTGTTGTCATGGTTCCATCTTAATTTCTATCAGCTGGATGTGGATGAGGCTTCATTGTCATATACTTTATGCTTTTGCTCAGATCTTTGGCTAACTGATGTTTTTCCATGACTTTTTGACAGTTATTTTTGTTCAGTAATGAATAATAAAGTGAGCTTTACCATCTGTATATGACAACATTTGTTTTAGTTTGACATTTCTTTTCTAGACAGCAAAGGTTTTATAATTAGGTTTTTTCCTCTGCCAAAAACATTGCTGAAAAACTATTTCCCTGGAAAAAAAAATGTTCCATAGCTTCCTTTACTCATTGGAATCATCTTATTTTGATTTGTAAGTTTTTTTATAAGTTAGGAAATGAAACAAGAAAAATTCCTCTCGAAAATTAATTCTTAACAAGAACAAAAATTAACTTTTACCCAAAAGAAAATTAGGAGGGAAAATGAAAAGAAACATATTTGAAATGGTGGTGGTTCTATTGTCTTTGTGAATTTTATGTCAGACTTAAGTGAGCAATATAAGAAACCCCTTTTCTACCTTGTTTCAAATGAGCTGATTTTGTTCTTGCTGTTACTCTCATCAGTTTTATGTCCAACTCTTTGAAATACCAGCAAGACTGTACTAGAACTGATGGATGGCGCCCTATTTCTCAAAGGCCTAAGTCTGTGATTCTGCCCGTTTGCTGATAAGTCGCAACTGTCAGCCGGGCACCACCTGTGGATATACAAGCCCCCAGCAAGGCTGAATTGCCCTCTTCATGCAGCCAAGTCTGCAGCTGGCTCTGTGACAGGGGAGCCCCGGGGGACAAGTTGCAGGTGTGTCAATTAACAGTGCTTTCTCTCTGGAGTGCTCTCAAAAAAATAGTGGAGGAAGCCACATGGATAACGGATGGTAGAATCGCTTATCATTGCTAATGGCAAAAACATCACATGAGCTAATGGCAAAAACAGCCATGCTCTCTGCATCGGTGCCCTCCCATAATAAGGTGTAGAAACATCTTCCAGCTCCTACAGTAGCAGCAATGGCCAAATTCTCTTTACAGCCCAGAGTATTTTCCTTTCTGAGTCATACCTGAAGGTCTGCTCCTAGAATCAGATTCCAGACCTGGCCACCCTTATCCTCATCATCTCCCACTCTTATTTCTACCACCATCATCATCCAACATTTTTATATTGAGCAGTAACAAATACGTGGAACTGAAGGAGACGTTATATAATATTTCAAGGGAGTGTATCTATTTAAAATGCAGACAGCAGGCATCTTCTACAAGGATTGAGTTAGCATCGTTTATAGCAATCCAGATAACGGAGCAAAATAATATCGCTGTCTCAGCTATTCTTGACCTCATAGATAGAGTGTAAACATTTCTTTCCAGTGTGTTTTTGTATCACATGAATGGCGCCTGCTTTAAGTTTTGATACGTTGGCTATGGGTGGCTGATAGTTGGTGAAGTATGAGGAGCATGGGGGAATTCCCTCTGTCTAAGATGGTGTCCGTTGTTTTCAATATGCAGGTCTGCTTGTGTGAAATAGAATGTGTATTTAATAAACTGGCTTGGGTGATTATTTGGGCCTTGGGTTTTTGTCAAGAAAAGATGTGAAGTTTAAGGAAAGGTTCTTGTCAGTCTGCAACAGCAAATGATGAGATGGATAGTCACCCACCCATGTGCTGAAGAATTGTTACCTTCATCTGATCTAGCTCAAGGCTCTCCTCCCCCCCTTCACAAGGCACAGAGAAGAACCCAGGAACTGGTGTGTTAAGAGCTTGATCAGAAGCCTCTTGGGCAGTAGAGCCTTGAATTTCTTACCTACCAGCAACAGGGGGTCCTCTAAAGGGAATTATCACCCTGAAGGAGCTCTCCTTCTGCTGTGTCATAGGACGAGTGTGCACTTTGCTGAGATTGACCGTGCTTATGGTTTTCATAGGAAAGTGAAGCTTTATGTGGCCTAGAGGTATAAAACCCACTCTACACCAAGGACATCAGGAGCATGGCACAGTGGGGGTGGAAGGTACCTGGGGAGTCACACAGACCTTGTTTGAATCCTGGCTTTGCTACTTATTAGCTGTTTGGCCTTTTCAAATCTCATGGGGGGGGGGGGGGTAAAAAACGGTTATAATACTAGACAATTTGGGTTATTGTGAGTATTAGCTACCATTTATTGAGCATTAGATTGTGCCAGGGAACCAGCCAAACAATTATCATAAATGGGGTCATTTAATTCTCCCATCATACATGAGGTTGGAGTTATTATCTCCACATTAAACATGAGGAAACTGAGGCAGTGTCTTGCCCCAGATCATACAGCTAGTGAGTGGCTGGCATCAGGCTTCAATTCCAGGTCTGTCAGACTCCAGATTATGTGAGAGACAGTGTGAAATTAAAGTGGTGTCCGGTGCATGGGAGTGTGTAACAAATGCTAGTTCTCTTTCTTTCCACATGTATCCTGTGGCTTTGATAGATCTTGATTTCTGTGTTAGGTTTTTATATGTAATGTTCTATAGAGCAGGTCTGCCATACTGCCCTCCTGTGGTTCATTTGGATAACATGGCTTTTAAAAACCTAATTGAAGTATAATGTAAATGCCAATGAGTGTCGTTTAAAAGGTGTCTCTGAAGTCACCTAAATGTATGCATACTTTTGGAGATGATATGATTCTACAACCTCAGTTCACAAGAAATATCACTTTTTTACTTTCTACAGTCCAACTTAATGTCTACCTCTAAGCCCCACCAGCTGGTAAGATACTTAGCTTAAATCACTCTTATAACTTCTCCTTTGGCTTCTCCAGTGTCCTCCATTCCCTCGGTTGTCTTGGAAGTGAAACCTTCTCTTCCCTGGCACACAGCGCGTGATGAAACTCTGTCTTGCTGTCCCTTCAAGAAGGGAGGAATTCTTCTTGCAATTACTTTTTCCACCCAACTGCTCTGTTTACAGAGACGTTTAGCCCACTGGCGAAATCTTCAACTTTCACACTTAAGAAAGAGTTCAAATCACCAGAGAGTAGAATGTTAATTCAGTTACCAGTTTAGATGTTAGAAAATTTTTCCAGGAGGGAAATAAAAAGGTCCGCTGTCCCCAGTTGTCAGGAGCTTTGGGTCACTAAATGATACCCACTCAGAGGTCGCTTTTTGTGTACCAGGAGGGGCTCAGCTCACCTGGATTCACTCCAGTTGCACGCATGCATTTGAAGCCTGGTCATTGATTAGCACAGGGCTCTTTCCCACGCACTTACCTTCAGGGGACCTCCTTGCTTTTCAGTGGCCCTGCCCATGGAGGAGTGAAGGGTTTTGTGTCAGATATGTGCCATGCTGCCCTCTGCTTATGTCTCTGTAGTGGAGGGTAGTGGAGGATGGGAGGGGGGTCGTTGGAAGGGGCTAAGTAGGAGCTTTGTTTTTTAGTTCCTAAGCACCATTTGAAACATGCGTCGAAGTCTTCTGTCCTTCAGTGTAGTATGTAATAGTTAACATTGTGCTCATGCCAAGACCTAATTGTGTTTCAGATAATGGAGGGCAGACTTTGGCGGGCGGCAACAACTGGCCCCTTCGAGGAAGAAAATGGAGCCTTTGGGAGGGAGGCGTTCGAGGCGTGGGCTTCGTGGCGAGCCCCCTGCTGAAACAGAAGGGTGTGAAGAACCGGGAGCTCATCCACATTTCCGACTGGCTGCCCACTCTGGTGAAGCTGGCCGGGGGAAGCACAAATGGCACCAAGCCTCTGGACGGCTTCAACGTGTGGAAAACCATCAGGTACCTGCACATCTGTCTCTCTTTCCTCCAAGGACAGAAGCTCCGAGAACAGCTTGATGCCATTGAGTGAGAATGATAGCTTTTGTACGGAAGTGATAGTTCAGCTTACAAATAAATGATTTTTTTGAAAAGAAATGCCTTTAGAAATTCTGTAATCTGATATATATGTTAGCTTCTGGATTTGAGATTGCAGGCCTGTGTTTACTTGAAGAGCAAGATTGTCCTCAGCCACTCGCCTTCTCCAGGAGGTCTTTAAAGTGGAGAAACTGGGCTAAGAAGGATAGGGTGTTGTTTGCTTCCTGCAGGGGGTCAGGGGACCTGCCCTGTTGCCTGCTAGGAGAATGGAGCACCAAGCAGGGGCAGAGAGCTGGATGTGAGCCAGGGAGCAGCTGTGCATACGTGTCTAATGAGCACCTGCTGTGCACCCAGCCCTGTTCTCGTGTGGAGGAATTAGGAAGGAACAAGACAGGCAAGATCCTGGATCTCATGGAGCTTCTATGCTAGTGTGTGTGGTGGGGCAACAAACACAAATAAGCAGATGACTTCCAGGAGTGATGAACGCTATGAAGGCGATGAAACAGTGTGTTGTGATAGAGACAGCTGGTAGACACGAAGGAGGTGTGACCTGGGGAGCAGAACCCAGACTCAGCTTTGGAAAAGGTCGCAGTTCCTTCTTGTCCCGCCACCACGGTGTAGAACAGTGGCCCCCAACGTGGGACACACACACCTGCGAGGGTACAGGAAGGAAACTTTAAAACCTGTGTTTGTATTTAATTTGATCTCATCCTCTTTTAAGTAAATGTTTTGTAAGGTCCTTTAGGACCTTATAAAATTAGTAAATTACTATATATATCCAATTTATAAATAAATACAAGTGTACATATATTGGAGGTGTTGTTTTTACTGACAGAATGACAATTGTCTAGTGTAACAGTTTTCAATCCCTGCTGGGTATTAAAGCAAGGGGTAGTGGCTCATTGACTGGCGGCCACGAGGACATGACCTCCTCGTGCTCTCCCTTCTTCATCCCACTCCTGATGCCCTACCTCAAAGGAGTATAGTGTCTGTTCTGAGGAAATAGACAATGGAGTATTTAGGAGTAGAAGGCCATGATATGTGTAAATACCCTCAAATGGTTCAGAAAAAAGAGAGAAGACAATGGAGGCAAATATTAATAATAATCTGAGTAAAGGGCATAGGTGTTCTTTTACTGTTTCTCATTTTTGCAACTTTCTGTAAATTTGAAATTATTTCCAATTAAAAAGTTTTATAAAATGGGAAAGCCTGGCAACACAGGGCCCACATTTCCACAAAGCCAACGACAGCGGAAGTCACGTAGTTGCTGTCTTCCTTAGATGAAGTACTCACCCTTCAAACCACCAGTCTCCATTGCTCCCAACTCCCAACCAGGCCCCCGTCACACATCTATGCACATTCTACTGTATGTGTGTATCTTGATATACTTAACCATTGCCTTAACTTAGGCTGATTTTCATTTTTTATTAATAACACTGTAATGAATAATTTCTTCGTGAAACCTCTGTCTACATTTTGGATTTTTCCCTTAGATATAAATGATTTGAAATTAAATTATTGAGCTAGAGAAGGACCGTTTTACTTTTTATTTATTTTTCTTGTGGTTTTCTATTTAGAAAGCTTTTTCTCAGCCTGAAATGTGCTAAATGTTTATCTATATTTTCTTCCAACTGTTGTGGTTTGATTTTCTTCCTTATAATTCTTAAATAATTGTGAGATGATGTGTGTGTTATGTGAGGTCAATATCTAAAGAGGAGTGTTTTTTCCCCAGGTTTTTGAATCATAGACCTCTTTGAGACTCTGAAATCTGTGAAATTCCCTAAAATAAAGTATTTTTTTTTTTACAGAGAAAAAGTACCTAAACACACGCAGAAAAATTTAAATAGAATTTTTTATGATATTAAACATTGATTACACATTCTTTTCTATGTGATTAGAAATAGAAAAGTATGAAAAACATTCTTTACAAATCTATGCCTTTCTCACTAATTTTTAATGCAAAAATTAACACCCACTTCACGATAAAAAATAAATAAAACAAAAATTTCCAAGCAAAGCAAAATTTGAACTTCAATTCAGCTTGTCACCAGCTGTCAGCGTGAAGGCTGTTGAGATTTGACTCGAAGGAGGAGAAAGTTTTGAGTGGTTTTAATTTGACAGCATATGTGTCATGCTTGACATCCAGTCACTTTTGATTTTTGTTTTGTTTTATTTTGGGGGCAAAAGCATTGCAAACCCTGGCTTGTAAAGGCACTCAATAGCAAATGGAATAAAATTCTATAGCGCACTTTGCCAAGTGAGGGTAGGCTTGAGTTGAGAAACAGTTGAATTCGTTTTGAATAATTTCCTCTGCCCCCAGTTCGCTGAGGTTATTATCTTTGGCAAAGTCCAAGTCATTGATGTTCGTCCGTATCACCAAATTTTGGATTATAAATCTGTATTTCAATCTTCAGATTATCTTGATCAGAAGTAACCTTTAAGAGTTTGGCACATGTCTCCTGCCTGCAGAAAAATTGGAAAAAGTTTGGTCACCCTTAACTCCAGATTGCAGGAGGTCTTTCTTTGGTGTTAGGAGAGCACTGAACTCCTAATGACCAATCCCTTACAGAACAGGAGCTCCCCATTGTGGAACGGCATACATAATGTTGATGGCAGGGCTCTAACCAATAGATGAGGCCAAAAATATTGTCCAAGTATGCGAAACCATTTGAGAGTAGACTTTCCTTTTCTATTTAAAAAAAAGTAAAATTTCTAACCAAAGTTTAATCAAGCGTTTCAAGACTTTCCTGTGGAAATCCAGCAAATTTCTGTTTAGTAAAGAAAGAACTATTCTTCTTGATAAAAGATCCTGAAAAAATGATCCAGACCCCTGAGCCTGATGAAGTGGATGCTCCTTGCAGCATGAGAAAGCCTTCATTCAGTAGCAGTGGCAGAACATTTGGCACCCGTGCCTGCTGATAGAGAAAGCCACCAGTCACTTTTCCAAAAGTGGAAAACTGGAGTTTCTTTTCCAAAGCAGCAAAAACAAATGGACAGCCAAATGTCAGAGACACTTATTCTGTGCCCAGAGTTCTGAAACGTTTTTTCCAGTCAGATATTTACTTGGAAATACCATTTTCAAGATGGTAGTTTTTGAAAGTCTTACAGGGGTCTCATGAAATAGGAATGGCAGTAATGGATGAAAACCAGAGTTGGCGTGCCGAGAGCGTCAGAGGTTCACTAGCTGTTTCCTAGTTATCGATTCTTCCTAGACCTGCTTCAAAATAGCAATTTTGGAGTGGGTGACGTTATTTTCAATAGAAAACTGCCTCAGTTTTTCTTCTGTTCCCAGCCACAGACCGTGTTTGTCATTTCTAGGGTACGTGGCTTCTCCAAGCTCTTTCCCATTCTGAATGTTTTTTCTGCTTTTCAACTTGATAAGCAGCCTATACCTTGCTTCAAGACGTTTCCAATGATTCATACTTTATAATGGTTCTTTTTTTAAAAATTAAACTTAATATAAACAAGAGCGGACCTCCTAATCACAATGGTAGGAATGTTTTTCTTTCTCATCAATGGGAAACTCTTGTAGATGTTATAACATGACAGTGGTGACAATGACATATTATCTGATGATGTAAAATACCTTAAAGACTTAATATGGGTTTATAAAGACTTCTTCCCCCCTACGGATTTAGTTTCAAGAAGAAAGCTGAAGGAAAACTAAGTCACTTTTCACCCCACTTTCACAGATCCCATGAAACCTAATGAAGCGTGACAGTCAATGAGCCAAAGGTTAAGAACCACTGAGCTAAAATGGTGCTTTAATTCAAGTGTTAGCAAAACAACCCGGACTAATTATTGAATAATTATTATTGAGTAACATTTTTATTATTATTGAATAAAATTTCCTTTTTAGTGAAAACTTTGTGCTACCCTTTAATTATGTTTTAGGTTCTTATTAGTCCTCTGATCTGTCTTGGTGCCCGCTGTTTTAGTCCACTGACTTAGCTGTTGTCATGTTAGCACCTCGCTGTTGTAATCCTTGTCTTTTTAGAGTCTATTTAAATACCTGGTAGAAATAGTCATTCACATTTCCATTATATTTCCTTTACAAAATTTTCTTAGCAGGCCTCACTTTTTTATTTTTTCTGTTGAAGTCTGCAATTATTTTGTTATATTCAAAGAAAAGCTTCTTATAAATTAGATTGAATGAGATTAAAACTGAACATAATTTGAGAAGAATGGACCTATTCAGTCTTCTAACATGGACATTTAAAGTTGCCCTCAGCTAGCTGATACTTTTTTCATTTTTTTAAAAAATAATTTTTTCTCTGTACTTCATTTTAGATAGATTCTGTTGCTATGCCTTCAAGTGTATTGATTTTTTTCTTAGTGTCTAATCCAGTATATTCCATCCAGTATATTTTTCATCTCATGCTTTGTAGGTTTTCACTTCTAGAAGCTCAAGTTGGGTCTTTTTTATATTGTCTATGTCTCTACTCAACTTCCTGAATATACCGAGTACGCTTAGAATAAGTGTTTTAAAGTCTTCGGCTAATTCCAACAGCTATGTCACTTCTGGTTGGTTGTGACTGAATGATTATTGTCCTCATTATGGGGCATGTTTCCATGACTTTTGATCTTTGATTTGGTGGCAGATGTTGTGCATTTTACCTTGTTGGGTGCTAGGTATTTATGTGTTGTTATAAATCTTGCTTCGTTCTGAGATGCAGTTACTTGGAGACAGTTTGAGTCTTCTGGGCTTGCTTTGATGATTCATTAGGCAGGTCCAGAGCAGCACTCAGTGTTTGCCAACTGTTCCCCACTACTGAGTCAAAACCCTCTCTGGTCACCTACCCAGCGCCCTCTGAGTTATGAGTTTTTCCATTCTGGCCATGGGAACTGGTGCTCTTCCCAACCCTGTGTGAATGCTGGGCACTGTTCCTTTTCATCCTTTTGGATGGTTCTTTCCCAGTTTTGGG